CCCCCCCCCCCCCCCCCAAGGTGGCGCAGGGAAGGGCGGGGGTGTAGGGACTTCATTTCTGGGTCATTGGCAGGACTTTATTTATTTGCCCACCCTCGTTGATACTAGCCCTAGCTACGCGACTGCCCCACACCCCACCCCCCACCCCCCACCCCAAAAAAAAGTTCATGTGTGGGCACTAAAGTCTTTATCTATCTAAAAATCTTCGCATTAATTACAGTAATGAGATCACGTGTGAATGAACTGGACGTGGTGCACAGTGAGGAGATTGGTTGGGATTGGCGATACAAGGAGCTCAAAATCATATATTACTTGCCAGCCTCTGTCGTGGAATCCACAGGACTATCGAAAGAGAAGACCAAGGAGTACAAGAGAAGGTAACTTGACAGAAAGAACGGATACGTAAATGGAAAGAATGGGGAGAAGGCTTATCCGCCACAAGTAAATAAAGCAGAACAAATTTTAATTTCCCCAGCCTCAAAAAAGCAATGACAATTTATGTGTCTATCCGCGATCTTAAAACAGAGTTGATGAGACTACCCCGTGTATTGTAAATGCAGGGTTGTCTGACCCTTGTTCACCACTTAAATCGTTGAGCTTTACACTCATAAAGATGATTATGGGAAAAAATGATATCTAGTATTGTTTTATATTAAATTTAAAGAAACCAATGAAAATTAAAATATTGACGGCGTTCCCACAGAAGACCCTTCGTCTCCCCAAAATGACTCAAGCCAAAAGTTTCAACAAAGCCAAGAGGAAGCGGCGTGTGATGGCGTGGTCATCTCGGGAAGGGTGGACACTTCAAACCTTAGTAAGCAAAACTCATTTACTAAACTTTAAATGGTTGAAGATAGCCCTATAACCAACCCGTGCCCAGATTAGGACAATATATTAATGCCTTCCCCGAAATTTAGCACATTATTCTTCTAGGTTCTAGTTCTATGGCCAATTAGCTTATAAATGGCAACACGCCAAAAAGTAAGGCCTTTGTTTGAAGAAAAAACAAACTTTAAAAAAAAAAAAAAAAAAGAAACTTCCCCTGGGTCTTTCATTCTTGAATACAAATGTAGAAAAAAGAAAGGCCTTTGTTTGAAAAAAAAACAAACTTTAAAAAAAAAAAAAAAAAAAGAAATTTCCCCTGGGTCTTTCATTCTTGAATACAAATGTAGGCTCATCGCATAGACGTCACTACCATGTAGAGTTACTTTTGACACTATGCTGGCCTACAAACCACATAGGTCTTCTATCGTTAAAAGAGAAATTAAAATTCAATCTCTTTGCCCTTTTCGAATTCACGAGGATAGATTATTTTGTAAAAAGTCGTTTTAATTACTAATTTTTTTTTTTACCTGCGTGTTTAATTCCAATAGGGTGGTTCTCAAGCAGTATTTATTTGTTTTTAATGGAACTTTGAAATGTGCAATACTTTGAATTTTTATTTACTTGAAGTACTGTAAAATTAATTTT